GCCAAACAGTAAGCATGGCGCTAGAGTCCTTCTCAGGTAGATCGACAACGCTCTCTGTCTCTCGGTCTCACACCATTATGATTTATCCTTCATAGGCGGCCTCGCTAGGCCAACGCTGTGAAAGCCGAGAGGCGGAGAGCGACACTGCTTGAGACACGATTTCAGCTGGGCGCAGTCGCGAGAGAGCTTCCTCGCGATATATGTGCAAACCCTTTGCTCCTGGAGCTAGGTTACAAGGAGGGCGACGCCAACTGAGATCTTATCCCGACTCACCCGATTCGCGCGAGCTGCGAGAGGCAGGCACGGGGCGACATCACCCTCGTCCCAAAGAGGGGTGAGCTGGGTGTCGAATGACCTCGTCTTGGCACGGGAGGCGACCCTTACTTCGTCTCTTTTTGCCAGAGTCTACTGATGGTTGGAGTCGTCATTGACATCTAGTTCTACTCTTTCTTACATAACACTCAAAAAGCCCGTCTTGAGGGTGAAGTGTAGAGCTCGTAAAGATTCTCAGCGACATTGGGGTATAAGGCGCAGAAGGACCAAAAGCAAATAGTACTACAACATGAACCAGGAAGACTGCGGCTGGGGAGGTAGAATTGGCTAGACCCCGTTGGGCTTAGCCCGCCTGGGAGTAACATGAAAATCAATCAATCAATCAATCAATCAATCAATCAGTTAGAGCCAGCACGGGGACGTGGAATATATATTACAGACGGTCATTAGGTAGCTTCGTAATACTGTCGTCGACAATACTGCAAGTGAAGCACGTGCGGAAGCAACGAGTAGGCTTCATCCATCGGTGCCCACCACGCGCCCTGAATTGGTATATCCTACTCCGTACGTCTACCACAGACCTGGGGCTCGACTATCATTTGACCTTGAAGAAGCTTTCGTCGGCTTGCCCCTTTTCCTTTTCCATCAATTCAGCAACCGTCCAGTCCTCGTGTATATAGCCTTCCGGGACATTGGTCGGCGTGAATGGGGTCCCCTTCTCGAGATGCGAGACAACCGCCGCGTAGTTCTCATGGGCATAGTCTTCGGCATCAATTCCGACCAGCCAATGCGGTTGCCGGAACTGTAGATACTCGGGATTCTTCGCGACAGCGTCCCAGTCCGTTTGATGCCATCTATGCCGCAACTCCCAGCCCATGCGCTGCGTGAGCGATGTCCGCTCGAATCTGCCGGGAAAGTTAGGAATTCGAGCCAGTGTGGCCAGGATAGCTGCCATAGGTGGGGACGAGCATACCTGAGCTTCTCGAATGCTCTTATAGCCGTTGGAACACATCCCTTGCCGCCTTCTTCCAGGCATGCAGCGATGGTCGCGCCGTCTTCGACACCTTGGGCTCCACCCGTTGCTGAAGTCGCCAAGTGTGGGTGCGCCGCATCGCCGACGATACATACTCGACCCTTAGGTGATACCCAGGGCTTGATCGGATCTCTCCATAGAATCTTATAGTCTATCAAGTTCTCCTCGACCAGCTCCTTGACGGTTTCGACTAGGCGTTCGTCGCAACCTTCGACCACCTTTAGCATGTCTGACTTCTTCCCCGGCAAGGTCCAGTCTTCCTGAATATCGCGGTCGTCCTATGGCGAGACATAAGTCCCCTCAGTGCGAGATGCACGACACTGGACAAGACTTACTCGGTGAGTAGCAAAGCATGTCCCCCGGTCCAGTACCTTGTTAGTTGTGATGATCGCATGACAGTCTCCCCAGATCCAGACATGGAACCAGGGATAGGGGGCGTCAGCGATAGGCCTGGTGATTGGGTTCTTGCGCAGCACATCAAGTGGAAACCATGCGCGATAGAGTGCAAATCCACTCGGCTGCGGTCTATCCATCTTTCCAGTTACAAAGTATCGCGCTTTGCTGTGAATTCCGTCGGCGCCGATGACCAAATTTGCTGTGTGTTTAACCCCATTGAGCGTGACTCCAGCACAGTTGTCGTCCTCAAAATATTCCGAAACGGTGCTGTTGTAGACGAACTTGACGCCAACCTGCTTCGCGAATTGAAACAGGACATTCTGAGTGTGTCCGCGATAGCCGTAAGCATTCGGCCAGCCTTCGGATTCTTGCTCGACCTGTTGATTCAGAAGCACCTTGCCGTTCTTGTCCATAATAGGCATCGATTCCGGTTGAGAGGCCACTCGCATTAATTCCTCCAAGATACCTTTACCATATTTACCTACGACTCTTGTGGCATTAGGACCGAATAGGATGATGTCGCCTTAGCAAAGTCGATTAGTGCCGCACATCTTTTTCTCGTGGACCACTGATGACCGACCTGCTGTCCTGACGGCGTCGGCAGCTTCGAAGATAGTCACATCAGCCCCGCGCCTGGCAAGATCCGATGCGCATGCTAACCCCGCGAAGCCAGCACCGACAACTATGACTTTGAAATCTTTGAGCGTCTCTGAGAGATTGGGGGCAATCTCTGGCTGAAAAGAGCCCATCCTGACGGTGACAGATCGGGATGACTGCCAGCAGCAGCACGAACGGTCGCAAACCCCAAGTGAAGTATTTATCACGGTCCAGACCGGAGATTCGACGTCGTTCCCGCACTCTCGGCCTTGAATGGAATTAAGATCCGGACAAAAGTCACCGAATCTTGAAGCGTCACCCAGAAACCCAGTGACATTCTTCGCATCTGTCTCCGAACCGGTGGCCGTCCAGGAGAGGTAGAGTGGTGCTCATCCTTGGAGCCCCACCACCCAGACGCGGAAATCTAGGCGGACGCCGCGAACCCATAGTGGTGCCAGGAGGTGTCCATATTGCGGATGGCAACATTTCTGCACATGCTTTCCTTACGGAGAGCTATTCGAGTGTTTGGGATGGTCGGAAATAAGTTCTTGCTGTCCATACTGAAGTCATACCCAGAAGACAGCTTTGACGTGGCTTCATCTGAGTAGATTTGGGGTCCATCCGGAGGGTAAACAAATGGATGCCAAAAGTGCAATATTACCACATCCCCAGAAGAGCCACAGCTGGGACAGTAACTTCCCTGCAGGAGGATGCATCCGGTTGTCGTATGGTTCTGGAGGACTGACTGATGTTGGTATTTGCCAATAGTTACAATGGGGTGAAAGACCACGTCGATATTCACAACACGAGGTCTGCCTTCGTCGGCCTTCTCGAGACCACCAGTAAACCTTTTCTGGGCGAGCTCACACTAGCTATCGAAACCCTTGCGCAAGTGGTAGGCTTACAAGGTGCGAGGCATCAGAAATCTCGCGTTTGGTCTGACATCACCCCGTATAGCGATTCAGACGGAATCTTTTAAGCTGAAAACAAATACTCGTCTGGGTAGTATTTACGTCCGAGATCCAGATAACAAGAACTGGAATCCTAGCTGATTCCTTGCCCGTCTCTTCATAATAAGCCCAGAAACAAGACTGTTCAGACTCGATTCAGGTCTTGTAACCACTTTCCCAGATCATATCCCCACTGCTCGATCTCGCCGCCAGCGCGCAATGCCCAGACTGTCGTGAAGTGGTTGTGCCCTTTCAAGACGTGATACTCGCCCTTCCGACCGGACGAGTTCCACAAGTCGGTGAATTGTTTCCCGGACTCTCGAATGTCATCCGGGTCCATTTCACTCACAATAGTCAACATTTTGGGCCATTTGGTGTCTGGTTGCGCGTCTCGGAGCGCTTTCTCCACCAGCCGCAAAGCCGCGTTCTCTTTGACCTTCTGCTCGTCCCCATAGTAGCCTTTGACACTGTCTCCGACCTTGGAATCGATCACGTACTGGGGCCAGGTGAACGGGCAGCTCAATGGGATACCCGTCCGCAGCGTTAATGCACCTGTCCCCGAAACTAAAAACGTGACGCTGTCTCGAAATTCTGGTCGAAAGAGCCACGTTGTTAGGTGAACCCCTCCAGCCGAATTGCCCATAATATACAGGTCTCTCGCGCCACGAGGCCTATAATGTTGATCCAGCCATTTCAAGGCAAGATCTAGGTCCTCGGCACCGCGCGGGAATCTGATTCCATGCTTTGATAGCCTGTAGTTGACGATGGCCACCTCGAAGCCTAATTCTTCCGCAAAGAACGACCCTAGGTTTTTGTAGACAAGGTCCCCGGGGATCAGGTCAAAGAGCTTGTCTCCTGATGCAAATCCGCCACCGTACAAAAACACTAAAAGGGGAGAGTTGCTGCCTGTGTCGTGATCGGAGCGTCTCTTTGTAGCTGTATACAAGTCCAGATCGTGTCGTTCATGCGGACCATATTTATGAGTTTCTCGTGGAGTCGCATTTATCAGGTCCGCCCGCGGCTTGATCAGGCGGGCGCACACCTCGCTTGTGGGCACCACTGCCTCGTAAAGCTCCAGGTGACGAAGTGCAGCGATTTCATTCATTATCTTCAACCTCAAATCTCGCGTCAAAAAGAGAATGGGTCCAGACGGCTCCTGGTTGACTTTGGATGAAGCAGGAAGCAGAGAGAATACGCGCGACTCTTATTCTTTGCTGAGAAGCGTTGTACAGGAGAGCCGTCTAGATCACACCTCAGTTGCTCTTAATCGTCTTATTGTTTAGTCGCAAGGGTTGACTGAGGAAAGGTCACTCTCGACCATCCTTGTGGACAAGGCTCTTAGTTTTGGTGCGCTTCGGCCGGAGCCCAAAAGAATCGGGCATTGTCTCGGAGTTTGTGGTATTCCACCCACCTGGGCGCAAGGGCATGAATAGGCCCTCGGCCGCATCCTTGCTTGGGCTCTGGGGCAGAGCATCGCTATTGGTTGGCATGCTTCGCCTACCCCAGAGTGAGGGCTTCTAAACCCGGGAAATCTCATGCACGGTGAGGGGGAGCTTGAAGCCGGGGGGATCTTGTGACGCAGAGGCCTGCGGTTCACACATTGCAAGGTCACTGTGCCAACTTTCGATTGCTCTGTACCTACAATCAATGAGGTCAACCTGTGTCTGCTCCAAAGCTCAGGTTGGTGAGCGAGGCATGGAGGCTGGAACATTTCACAGCTTGCTGCGAGGACATTGCTAGCGTCAAACAGAATGGAGATTCAGCGGTCTCGTCGAGGATGGTATGTCCGTCGTATGGAACGGTCCAAGCCCATTCCATTTACTGATCTTCCATCAGTGCCGCGTGCCGTATGCGCCATTTGAAATGTATGGAGAAGAAACAGCAGGACACTCTCGATCCCCTTTCTTACCATTCTTCTGACAGGTGATGAGGCGAAGCCCGCTTGTTTCAGATGTCAAGCCGCGGGGAGACAGTGTGAGAAAGGACCGCTGTTTTCACAATGGCGAGAACCCAAGACGCGCAGAAAACAGGGCGCCTACGTCCATCGAGAGCCACGAAAGGAGCGTCGGTGGGTGGAGATCCCTTCGACCCGTACGCGGGATTCCTGAGCTCGAAGCTGTGAAACTTGTTGACAATCTGATCAGTGACATTCGTGACCGACAGCACGATCGAAGAGATCCTATCTCAACACTCGCCGAAGCAGCAGGATGGCGAACCGACGACGGGCGCAAGCAAGGACTCCTCGCCCATTTTTAGCGCGGGGGAGGTGACGAGCATATCTCAGTTGCTGTCCAACGATCCCACCCGCTCCACCACATTCCAGTGTACCTCCATGGATATGACCTTCACGGAGCTCTCTTCGATAGACTTCATGGACATGGGAGATTTCGTAACAGAGGTATCAACCACCGACAGTGACACAGGCATCGCGTGCGAAACCAGATCGTTGGAAGCCCGTTCAGGACAGCTGGTTGACCGCCACTCACTGATCAAAGACCGGACGGAGGCACATCTGCTACGACACTACTGCCAAAATTTGGCTCCATGGGTGAGTTGCATGGCGTGCTGTAGCTTCGACCAGCCCCAACTAAAGCTAGGATCAACAGTTTGACGTTACAGATTCCAATCGGCACTTTCAGCTGGAAGTCCCTCGAAGAGCCTCGACTTGCGACGTGCTCCTCAACGCCATCTTCGCCTTATCTGCTCTACACCTCAGCCGAGTCTCTTCCTTGGATCCATCAATCGCAGAGTCGTACCATTCGCGGTGCAATTCCCAACTGATCCCGCTTCTCAACGATCGGCATTGCGCGGCGAATGTGAATTTACTGGCCACGGTGGTTATCCTACGGAAATACGAGGAGTTGAGTGGTAGGCTGTCAGTATAACTTGCGGCAGCAGGACGAGCTGACACGGTCCGAGTCGTAGTCACTGGACAGGATCATGGCCATCATCTCGCTGGTGTGTCGGCCCTGTTCAGCTCTCCAGACTGCCCGTTCAATGACGGGTTGGCGCAGGCCGCGTTCTGGCAATTTGTCCGCCAGGATATTTACATGTCGTTACCGAGGAGGCGACCACCTCGAACCTCCATTCTGATCCAGCCACCCTTGACGAACGACAGAACGATGCCAGACTGCCACTGGGCTAATCGGATGGTGTGGGGAACCCTCGCCATCATGGCCCTGTGTTTTCGGGACGAGCGCCCAGATATCGCGACGTACGAGAATCATAGCCAGCGGGTCAAGGACTGGCACGACACTAAGCCGACCTCGTTCACACCCATGTACCGTCGCGAGCGATCCGTTGTGGACGGTCGATACTTTCCGGAGATTTGGCTCTCTGATCCATGGCATGGTGAGTGTCTACAATTCCCATCCCTCTTTGACACCTCGATAACGGACCCGGATGGAAACAGCCACCGCGTGGCAGTACTATCATCTCTCCAAGATCTTGCTTGCACTCTACAATCCGCATCTTCAGCGCCCGGCAGCCGACCTGAAATATCAGCGAGATCATAATCAGCTCGAGGTGGGTACTTGGACAACATAGAGGCGAGCACAGCATATTAATTCCACCGATTTAACTTCATGACAGCGCGATGTCCTTGAACACGCCAGATTCGCTTGCGGCATCGCCAGCTCGAATGACTTTGCCACCACGCGTTTCACCTTGTCTGCTATCATGCTTACCTGTGAGTCCTGTGCTTTGCAATGCGACGACAACGAAGTTGACAATGTCTGTAGGCGGTGGATGGTTCAAAGATCCGCAGGAGCAAGAAGCCATCATCGACTTGCTCTCTGCAACTAGCAAAGAAAGCGGCTGGCCAACTAAATCCGTCATTGAGGCTCTTAGAGAAAGTTGGGCCGTGGAATAATATGATACTTGGAGAATCGCCTTGATACGGTGGAAACCTGAAATTGAAAGAACTGGATTGCTATCTCATCCTATCCCCGCTACAAGTTTACTCGGCTAGTTATTATCCTAGCACGGGTATAGTACCTTGCTCAGAAAGAGTGTTGTAAGAAGGAACATCTTTTTTCAAAGGCTAAATCACCTCTCTTGTGACAGATAAGGGGAACCAGGACGACGGTGACAGGGCGGTCCGGACTCTCACCACAGCGTCGGAGCTGCAAATGCACCCCAGCACCAGGTATTTTGCCCGGACAAAAACAGTCCAACTAAATCCGGAGTCCTTACCATTTTCGTTCGGGGATAAACAACTGTGGGGCAAAGGGTGGAAACGATTCGGAGACCGACAAGGCTTTCGATTTGTCTGGCTTCGGGGATTTGGGGTCTCAGGGGCCATCAATGGTCTTGCTGATTCCGACGCCGTATAATTCGATGCATGAAATGAGACCCAAGATGTGCCCACGTGCTGCTGGCGAAACGTTTCATCGCCAAAACCCCAAGACAGAGTGCCAAGAGGGACAACGCAAGGGCGAGACCAGCTTGGTGTGCAGTGACTGCTCTCTCGCCAACCGGACAACATTGTCATGAGATGCGACGGAGACGGCGGCGATAGCGACGATGACCTCCAAAGAACAAAGCGCGTCCTCGACGGCAAATGCTATCCGCAGCGCTCATGCAGCGTTCAAAATCCAGACGACGAGTTGTAGCCACGCCTGGAGACTACGCCAGTTGCACGGATTAAGTCAGCTTCTCACGACCGAGAAGGATGCTTTGTTGCGCAGCTTGAGCAGCGGTATGCGTGAAGTGGTCTCCTGAGCCAGAGAGATGTTGACACGGCTAACGTTGTTACGTTGAGAAAATGGGTCCCGGAGGAAACAGCACGAGCGGGAACTGGTGCTGGTCCTCGACGATGTCGAACGGTACTACGTTCATATCCAAAAGAGCGCATTCCCTTTGGAAGCAGCTGCCAGTCGATCACCGGGACCGCAGCAGCGGTTTCTGCCCGTCGGCGTGTCACTGGTCGTGGTCGACAGCGTCAATCCGATCCGGTTTGCTCTCAGTGCCCTGGCGGCGAACATTGCCGTGGGCAACACGATCGTCCTCGCGAACGGCCATTCTCCATATTCGGCGGAATTCTGGGCCGTCCTCGCAAAGACGGTGCCTACCTACCTTGACTCTACGGCCATCCATGTTGTAGAACGACTCGAGGGCGGCACTGACCTCTCGCTCGAACAGGTCGACTTGAGTACTGTTTTCGGTAAGTCCAGGATCGTATTATGGCCCGTATCGTGTTAGGATAGATTTTCGACTGATGATATTTCTCAGCTGAAAAGCCCGAAACTTACGAAAACATCTTGAGACAGCCTCGTGTCCAGTTTACCAGCACCAGATCCGGATCCAGCCTTGTGGTCGTCGACGAAGGGCCCAAATCTCCCGACGACATCGTGAAGCAACTCTGGGAGAGCTTTAGCTTCCGAGGCATGGTTCCTGAGGCGGCCAATGTAGTCTTCATCCGCGAGGACGAAATTGCTCTTTTCCAGCCGAGCTTCAACGACCACTTCTCTGCCCTCTCAGAACCGCCGGAAAATGCCACCCAAGTGAAATTGCGCTATGATGGCCTTGAACAGGTCTCCCCGTCGGTTTTCCGAGTAGATCTGACCAAGACCATTGTATCGGAGAAGCGGCATTCAGGTTTACAACAAGCCATCGACGAGGCTGATCGTACCGGCGTGTTGCTCATTGTTGTTTACCGAACCATGGACCATGTCATCGATGCTTTGCGCCAACTCCCATCGCAGCCAACGTACTTGGCGCTTCTGGCTCCATACAGCAAAGCCAGCTCGGAGTATTTTGAGAGATGGACAGCGAGCGAGTTCTATTCTGTAGGCTTCCTGATGGCCGTGACCCCACACCGTACGTGGTTTCAGGAACGACCTCGCCGTGGCTTACCAAACTAACTGAGCTTTGACAGATTCAAATCCATCCAACGTTGTCTTTCCTCCAGACCTTTTCGCACGGTCGCGAACACTTTTGACAACGCCAACCATTCAACGTGCGGCCGTGCTAGATGAGGTCATGGAGCGAGTTCAGGCTGTGGTCACGAGGCCCTCGGACGCGCCGAACCAAACAGACGACTTCTTTATCTATATGGCCAGGCTTGCGAAACGTGTCGCGGTGGCTTGCGTCGTTGCGGCCGGAGCATACATCTACTATGCAAGAAGGGTGTGAAAGTGAATGTTACTGCTCACTCGTGCAGTGTGTAAACTCAGTATCTCTCCCAGCCAGTAGCATACTCTTGGGACAAGAGGATATCAAAGATGCACGGTCAGTTTCTTGGTACAAGATCGACATATTTTCCTTGATGTATATTTGATCTCGAGCCTGATAAAAACAATCGCCTTGTCGGACCATATAGTCTCACAGCTTCATCTCAAACCGGGGGTTGTTCCTGAGCACCTCGCCGTATCGGATAAACAGCCAGATCAGTGGCGTCAGGGCCACGGACACACCGGCCAGGACTGTATTTCCCCAACCCAGCCCTAACTCGTCGTAAATTCGGGCCCCAGCAAGCGGCACGAGCGCCCCAAGAATGCTCCGAAGGACCGTGGTCGCCGCAGTGGCGCTCGCTGCGTAGACGGTGAAAGCATCGACCAAATAGATGCCTATAGGGAGGAATGTCCAGAGGGTGCCGGCACCGAGGAGCCCAGTCCCGAGTATTGGGATGATGGGATGGAGCTTGTGCTCAGCCGACCAGCCGTAGACGAGCAAGCCGACCGGGACCAACACGGCGCCCGGCCAGAGAAGAGGTAGGCGGTACTCCGGCTTCATCTGGCCCCCTTTTGCCTTGGCCAATTTCTGGAGCAACTTGTCCGAATAGGCACTGAACAAGCCTAGGCTGATGAACTGCCCGATTCCGACTCCAAGGAACACCAGCCCGACCGTGCTCTGGCTGAAATGGTATTGATCCAAAAAGACTCTGGTGATGGTGGAAAAGATGAGGTACATGTAGCCATAGGCCACCGCGACATAGAGGGAGCATCCGAAAACAATCAGGGAACCACACAATAGTTTGATCGGACGCGTGATCGAGACGAAAAGCAAATGCAGCGTTGAAGGATCTGAGGTTCCCGGCGCCGACTGAAGCTTGCGGTGGCCTGTATCTGCTCGGATGCGGTCCCCCTTTCTTCCCAATAGCACTACCGGGTACGTTTCGGCCTGAAAGGGGATCGCCAAACAAATGTAGACTGCAGTCTAAGGTGGTACTGTTGTCAGCTCGTCGGTTCTGCAGCATCACGGCTGATCCAAAAAGGGCAACCTACGCAAATTGTAAGCACGTAAAAATCCCATCGCCAGCCGTAAGATGCGGCAATCCAAGAACCCAGGACAGGTCCCAGACTATGAAACTCGTGGTCAGCAATCTCTCAGCAAAAATCGATGGGGCCTGAAACTCCCGGAAGAACACACCTTGGACCAAACAGGACCGAGAACTGCCACAGGCCCATGATCTTCCCTCGGTCCTGCTGCCTGAATGTGTCTGCGATCGTCCCCGATCCCACGGTGATGGGACACGAGCCGGCGGTTCCAGCCAGAAACCGGAAAGCCACCAACATGTCCAGACTTGTGGCCAAGCCACACCCAAGGGTGAAGATCAGAAACAGGACCGACGTTATGATGTACAGCGGCTTTCGTCCATATACCTCGCTCAGCGGCGCAATCACCAGGGGCCCAAATGCGTAGCCGAGGACGTACACCGACACGACCAACGAGGCCATCTCAATGCTGTGAGAGTCGAAGTCCTTGAGCACCTGCGGCACACCGGGAGCAAACATCGAGGATGCAAAAGGTCTAGAAATGAATTTTAGCTCGTGCTCTCGGATGCGCATTCTTTTTGCATGCGTACGTCAAGAAAGTCATGTAGGAGAGCAAAACAATGTTGACCCCTTTCTTCCTAGAACTCCAATTGACAGGGTTTTCGGCGTCGTCGGGGCCATCCCAGTCAACAACAGCGCCATGATCGTCGCTTGGGGAGCCTTCGCTATGTTGCAGCAGCGGTGTCGTCTCGACATCTGGCCCGGTGGTGACGGCTGTCATATCTCTCGCTGGCGGCATAGCTGCAGGTACAATTGAATGAAACTAAAGAGCAGCACGGACAAGACGCAGACAAGCTCGAATATGTGGAAGATGTTGGCTTAGATTTTCTTGTAGTGCATGCCAGGTGTCTACAAGTTGGGACCAAGCCTTTCCGGCAGTATTTCTCCAAAGACTCGGACCCAATAACCCCCCCCCCCCTTCTTCTGGAGGCGGAGTCTCCGGGTGAATTAGTTAGCAAGTAGCAGGTCTCGGCGGCGCGAACAGGCAGCCCAGGCTAAGCCTCTAGGCAGGGTTGCTGCTACCAACCCAGCTTTTCCGAGGCCAAGGGGCACTTACAGAAGCGAGGATTTTACCCGGATGGGTTTGTTCATAGGTAAATTAAGTCGACAACTCCCGGCATTTGGACATACCGTCAGGCTGCGAGCCGTGGGCTTTGGGAAAGAACCTTTGCTACTTCCGACGTTTCATATAGCTACCTCGGTATCTAGATACTCTGTAAAGTCCACAGTCTTGGTGCTGCTCCACGACTAGACCCCAGACACGCTTCCCGACTTAATATGACTGGGATCCTCAGCCTCGTATGCCGCCTCTGCGGCACACTCGCTTTGGAAGCTCGCTTTGCTAGTATATGCCTTGGCCGGTATCTCATCCGGTCGTTCGATGAATTGCAGACCCATTCCCGATTCCGAGTGCCAAATGATGTGGCAGTGAAGCATCCACACACCAGGGTTATCTGTTTTGAATCCGAGGACCAGATAACCTTCTCCAGCATAAGCGCGGCCCTCCAAACAGAGATCATCTTGTGCTTACCGCCGACATTTGGATCTTTCGCCACATTGCCAACCACGAGTGCAGTATCTCTCCTGGGAGGAT